GCTGTAAACTGGAGAACCTTGATTTCTCAGGAATAAAAGGGCTTTAGAAAATTAACAAGGTATACTTTAGATTTTAGGGTAGGGCCTGGGAATGCTATGAGGTAATTAACAGCTCCCAGGCGCTCTCGGACCATAAATGGCCCCTCCCACGATGCGTCCATCTTATTGGCCTGGAGCAGTTTCAGGACCATGACTTGGTCACCTACTTTGAAGGAACGTTCTCTGGCACGTTTATCATACCAGGCCTTTTGCTCTTGTTGAGCATCCTGTAGGTTTTCCCTAGCAAGGGTTAGAGAGTCTTTGAGGGTGTTTTGCAGGTTGGTTACAAAATGTTAAGTTCCTGGACAAGATGTAACCCCGTCCCATTGCTGCTTCACCAACTGTAATGGTCCTTTAACTTTGTGGCCATAAACGAGTTCAAAGGTTGAAAATCCCAAACGGGGATGTGGTACATCCCTGTAGGCAAAGAGCAACTGCTGCAATACTAGATCCAAATCATTGGAGTGTTCATTTACAAATTTACATATCATGGCCCCCAAAGTCCCATTAAATTTTTCTACTAGGCCATTCGTTTGATGGTGGTAAGGGGTGGCAACCAAGTGGTTTACCCCATAAGCATCCCAAAGACGTTTCATGGTCCCTGCCAAGAAGTTAGTTCCTGAATCTGTAAGGATGTCGGAGGGCCAACCTACCTTGGCAAAAATGTTTGCCAATGCCTGGCTCACGCTTTTAGCCCTGGTGTTGCTTAGAGCTACTGCTTCTGGCCATCGGGTGGCAAAATCCATGAAAGTCAGTATATACAGCTTTTCTCTGGGTGTCTTTTTATGGAAAGGGCCCAGAATATCCACAGCTACACCCTGAAATGGAACCTCAATGATGGGGAGTGGCTGGAGAGGGGCCTTGACCTGGTCTTGGGGCTTTCCCACCCTCTGGCACACCTCACAAGACTGGACATAGATAGAAATGTCCTTGCCCATTCCCTCCCAGTGAAATGACTTCCCCAAACGGTCTTTGGTTCTGTTCACCCCAGCATGGCCAGTAGGATGGTTTTCTTGAGGTCTAGCTTAAAGGTTACAAGCAAAACAAAAGCACCTGGGGTTAGCACAGAGGAGTCCACAAGCCATAAAGAAATAAAAGAGATAAACCTAATTCTGTCTTCCTAGACATTTCTTGATCTACTTACATATCTGGGGTTTCAAATGAGGAGTTTCTAGGTATGATCTGATGGTCTTTTCCATACCTGGCTTAAAGTGTCTTACAGCATTGCTGCTCTGCGTCTCCTCTCTGGGAGAACAACCAGAGACAGACAAAGGGAAAGTTTTTTCCCCCGATTCTAAAAAGTTCTAGCCCTCCCATTAACTCTTTCGGTCAGGTGTCCACTCCTTCCTTTTACCTATAGGCTTTTTTAACCCTCTACAGGTAAAGCAAGCAGAGAACAGCTATCAACAGGGATTTTGTAGCTAATTGGCTGGCTGCGTATCCATAAAAGGGAGCTATCTCCCCCCCTTCATTTATCACAGATGTGCTCCCCATCCCATGGCTAAGGCATGTGTTACCATAGTCATTGATGGGAGAGAAGGCAATTCCTTTGCACATGTTGGGTTGGCTCAGCCACCAGTTCAGAGAAGACAACATGGTGTCTGAAACACAAAATAGCTCATCTCAGAGGTGAATCTGAGGATGATAGACCGAGCTGACCCATGCCTGCAGCGGTCTGAAGTCTGGTGTGCGGGGTGACGTATATACATGCCGCCTCATGACCTAGAATCCTGAGGCAATCCCTTACAGTGGTCCAGGGATGCTCCTTGAGGAACACACATAGGTCCTGCGGAGTTTGAAACCTGGAGAGAGGCAGAAATGTCTTGGAAGATGTTGAAATAACCAGTCTCCTGGACCTAGAGAAAAGATAATTGTGGCCAGGGAAACCATCCAGAAAGTCTTCTTGACATACCTGTTCAGGTTCCAAAGATTTAGGATTGATATGAGACCTCCTGTGGCTTTGAGAATGAGAAAGTGTTGGGAATAAAAAACCCTGACCACTGAGGAGGGGGCACTTCTTCTATAGCTCCCAAAGAACGTAGAATCTGCACTTCTTGCCTTAGCACAGACTCGTGACAGGGATCCCTAAAGAGGGACTGGGAAAAGGGGTGGGAATAGCAAGGAAATGCAAGGTATATCCTGATTCCACTGTACTTATCGCCTATTTGTCCAAGGTGATGGACTGCACCAGGCATGTAGGAAATGCAATAACCTGACCTGGAAATGCAGGGAAGGGCCAGATAGATCTAGGTTGGGGGACATGCTGTCCTCTACATAAAAGAGTCAAATCTACTGCTTCAAGCCCATGGGATCCCTCGAACCTGAAGGAAGTGGAAGGCATCTATGTCCTCTGCAATCTTTGCTTTTTCTTAGGCTGGTCAACCTGACAGAAGAGGTAGCATTGATGTCTAGATTGGTATGGAGAATGATATTTTGTCCTCGTCGTTGCCAGTAGAGGCCCAAGGATTTCAGAACTATTCTCGAGTCCTTCAGGGTATGCAAAGCCTGATCTATTTTGGATGATAACAAGGAATACCCTTTGAAGGGGAAGTCCTCAGTTGTCTATTGCAATTCTTCAGAGATGCAGTCAGGAGGACTTGTGCATTCTTACAGTTGTCGCCATGATTCTGGCTGCAGTCTACCACATTCAGGAAAGCCTGCAGAGCTGAATGAGTGATGAAGCGATCCTCAGCCATGACGAATTCAAACTGCTCCCTTGAATCTTCAGGCAGCTTGGTGACAAAGTGGGATATGGCTTCCCAATTGGACAAGTCATAGCACAACCAAAAGGTATGATAGTTGGCAATCCAGAGTTGTAGACTTGGCATAGAATAATTTTTTCTGCCAAAGAGATAAAGTTTTTTTAGTCTTTTTTCTCCTGGAGGTAGTCTGAGCCTGGCCCTGACAACTTCTCTTATTCACTGTGGCCACAGCTAGGATGTAGACAGAACTACTCAAACTCCAGGGATGGAGCCTGGTATTTCTGATCCACTAATTTGGCCACCAGAGGAATGGAGGAAGAGGTCTGCCATATTGTTTCAGCTGGCTTCATGATGGCATTGTTCATAGGTAGGGCTACCTTTCCGCAGAAAGATGGAGAATGTCAATGAGCTTGTGTGTATTCTCCTCTACAAGTTCCAGAGAGGCTGCCATTCTCCTGAGTAACTCCTGGCATACTTTAGTCATCCAGTACTGGGGATGATGCCTCCCATACCAGGACCTCGTCAGGTGATGAGGAAGAGGCGTGAGGTGTTTTCCCCCAAGGCAACTATTAAGGCCACTCCCCTGGTACGATACCAGGCCCCAGGCTTGTCTGGCCCAAGCGTCCCAATTCTTGGACAATCTCTTCTCAAAACCACAATAATGACAGCAATTACTAGAGTAAGCTTTAGACTTTGGGTACCAGGACACCTGAAAGTTGACTTCAGAGTTTGATGATGACTTGGAGAAAAAGGATGGCGTGTTAGCTGGAGGGGTCTTTGGCAATCTTAATCAGGACCTATGTCAGAAGCATGGTACCAGTGGCAGCATGGATGGCTTCCTGGCTGCTGTTAATATATGGTGTAAGGAATCCAGAACCAGTCCCACACTAGGGGGCAGTATCAAGCCCAAGGCAGACAGTGCTATGGATGAATGACGTGGTGCCGATGATCTATTCTAGAAGGCTGCATTGGTACTGCACAAGGTCTTCGCTCTGAAGCAAAGACAATGGCAGCACCAACAGGCATAGTAAATCTCTAGCCGTGATGTAAGCCTCCATCATAGTTGATACCAACATGAGCGGCTGATCTGTAGTGATCAGGGAAGACTGATCTGTCACCAAAGTAGCCTGTCTTGATGGTCCCTGAGAGGGCACCGGAGCTGATGACCTAGGTCTCTGAGTGACCCGGTACCGGGGAGTAGAAAGGCACAGGGCACCCTCTACCTTTGGTACCTGACTGACTCTCTGTGGGAGAAGTCCTGCACCCTAGACGCCGAGAAGCTGGATGCAGACTTTTGCTTGGACTTTTGAGGCTACAACTCTGATTCTCTAGGCCTTGAAAAGGACGGACCCAGAGATGGGGATCTTCCGAGACCTCTTTCAGCTGATATGACCGGAGGAACACTTCAAAGAGCTTCCTTTAGATGAACAAGGTGGCTTTAGTGTCTTAGTTCTAGTCTTTAAGCCATGAAAGATAAAGCACCCATCTCTGATGTGGCCATCACCCAAATACTTGAGGCAGTAGGAGTGAGGGTCATTAACAGGTGTAAACTTCTTGAATTCTAGGCAAGGTTTGAATCCCAGGGACCAGCCAGCTGGAAAAATCCCTAAAGTAGCGTTAAATCAAATGAAATAAACTTAAAATTATAAAGGAAAAAAGAAAAGAAAATAAGTCCAAAGGCTTTTGAGAAACACTAGTTAGATTGAGTAGTAGTTCAAAGAGCACCAATGATCTGACCACCAACGGTAAGTAGGAGTGTGACCAGGGATGGGGCCTTCCCTATGGTTACTGCTAGGGAAATCTCTCTCGCACTGGTGCACAAGGCATGCCTATACTTACTGTGAATGCACATACGCAAGCACTTGAAGAACTTAAAACTGTACAGATTTGTAAACAAGGCAAAATATAGACAGACAAAAAGTAGTTTTCACATTTGCTTTACCTACATTTTCTCTCTGTCAATTCAGGAAAGAATGTAGTTGGGACCCATACTACTCTCTACCTAAGAAGAGTAATTCCGCAAATACCATTTTTTCCCCTTAGGTTTTATACCTAGAAATGCTAACCAGAGGTCTAGATCGTTAAGTACTATAAATTGTCGTAGCTCCATTGAGATCAATAGAGCTACACATATTAACACCAGCTGAGACCCTAGCCGAACATGTTTACCACAACTCAGACTTCCTATAGAAAATACAGATCTGGCTTAGGAACTAAACAATGAAACAAGTAAACCATTTCCCAATGACCAGTTCTTACCTTACATGCATCATAATCTTTGCGGATATAGTGCAGGTGTATCAGCCAGTTCCTTCTCTCCAAGATTGGCAGCTCTGGCACTGTGTGGAAAACATTAGCAGAACATACACAACATTGAGAAATGATCCAGCAGAGAACACTCACGCATGTAGGGTAACCAGATGCCCCAATATTATTGGGACGATCCCGATTTTAGAGGCTGTGTTTTAGAGTATGTCTACACTACCCCCTGGAAGCAAAGTCAACGGGGGAGCCGCGGCAATCAACCCCGCGCCGTGAGGATGCGAGATAAGTCGAACTAAGATACGTCGACTTCAGCTATGCTATTCTCGTAGCTGAAGTTGCGTATCTTAGGTCGATCCCTCCCCCCCAGTGTAGACAAGGCCTTATACAAGCAACTATGCTTCCCGCACCCCCCCCACCAAAAAGTGTCCCAATTTTTCACACTTATCTGGTCACCCTACACACATCAGGCCAGAAAAATTTCTCTTTGGTAAGGAAAATCTCCACATGCAGGACAACCTAAACTAGATCTGCACCAGGGAGCACTATTAGTCTCTTGACTCAAAGCTGGGAATCTGCCTTTAAGTGTTAGAAAGCAAAAGGATAGCAAAACTTCCAAACGGATAGATAGAACATACTGTTCAATGAATAGCCTAAATAAGCCTCTTTCACTGAAAATCCGAACAATAGCACTTCATAAGACGTGAGACATCTGCTCCTTCCAGTGCAGCTTGCTGGAGCAAGCAATGCCAACACCTTGCCTTTGCATACATTGTAGTCTAATGCAGAGGTTCTCAAATTTTAGCAATCTGAGGACCCCCAAATTTTGATTCAAAATTTTTTCACTGACCCCCAAACCCCCGCACAGCTCCAGGCCCTGCCCCCACTGCACCACTTCCCTCAGCTGTTCCCCGGCGTGCAGAAGGTGATAGGAGGGAGGGGGAGAAGATGAGGGAGGGAAGGGGAGGGGAGTTGATCAGCGGGGCCCGCGGACCCTTGGAATACCCTCGTGGATCCTAGTTTGAGAAACGCTGGTCTAATGCCAACAGTGGTTTGTTCGGTTTTGGGCTTCCACAGACACAGAAAGAGCTTGGGGAATAGACATGCTAAGGAAGCGGTTAATAATTTAAAGAAGTCAAATTAGTTCTTTGAAACTGTGCAAGATTACAAAATGTCACACCTTTGTGGGATACGGTGAAGCCACTGATGAAAAATCTTTTTGATGTAGTGAAGAAGAAAGAGAAATATGCTTCAGTAAATCAATTGTTAGGAGCCTGCAGCAGTCATGGCAAGTCACAAATGGGTATTGTTTGGCTGGTAATGCTCATGTTGGGTTTAAAAGTTTAACCCATTCCTGTGCATTTCTTTAAGACTTGGAATATATTACTTGTTTCTCATTTCTGCAGTGCAGATGCTGGCAGCCCAGAAGTAACCATAGCAACTGGCAAAAAAGCTAAATGTTTGCAAGTCAGTATAATGACAGACGAGTAGAAGCAAAGCAAGGCAAAGATTGTTGCAGCAGCAGAAAGGATGATAGAGCACTAGGACACATTCCTCCCTGTCCTCACCCCATGGAATGCAGACCCATCTATACAACTGTCAAATAGAGGTGTGCACTTGGCTTTCATAATGACAGCACAGACAGATAGGAATACCACTTTAAATTTTCCATAGCAACTGCCACCAGCTTTCAGCACAGGTCAAGATCAGATAGGAGAAAGAGGGAATCCAGCAGATTTCAGAAATCCAGAGTGGATCATGGCAGGAGATCCAAGTATTATCATCTTTTAGAAACTTTTAACTTTACTAATGTAATTTACTAATTTACTTTTAACTTTATGATTTGCAGCGAATAGGAAACATGCATTCTATACTACCACTGTGGCAGTCTCTCACAGCTCATTGTTACAACATGTGAGACACAGAGAGTACTTAAAGAATGCAGGTTAAAAACAAGTGAAAACACCACAATTTCCCCCCTCCCCCCATTTTAGCTGGCAAGTTTCTCCAGCTGTGTTACAAACACCACTTCGAATAATTGAAATGGAAAAAAATTTTAAAAGCCAATTTGCTTTTCACACTACATTTCCAGACAAATCTTTGTTAAAATGGCAGTACAGTTAAGAACAGAACACATCAGTAACTTGGGTAAAAATCTGTCTGGGCAGGGGGCTGGACTAGATGACCTCCTGAGATCCCTTCCAACCCTGATATTCTACGATAACACACACTACAGGGACGATTTAATTACTGCAAAAAATTAGAATTTTAAGCCCAGGAAATTCAGAGTTAGACTTAAAAGAAGTCAAAATATGTTAAGGTGTGGAAATGCACATTTGGGCACCCAAACAACCCTAACTCTGCCCTGTTGTGGCACTATGCAATGACCCTATAATTATGTTTAAGATTTTGTCACTGTTATTTTTAGTAAAATTCACAAACAAGTTGCGGGGAATAAACAAAAATTCATGGGAGCCCATGACCTGTCTGTAACTTTTACTAAAAATAAACAGGGGGAGGGTTGGAAGTGGGGGGGGGGGGAAGAGAATGACAGCTGGAGCCCCATGGTGGGAGGGGGGGACTGACAGCCCAAGTCCTGTCATGGGGCATGGGGGAACTGACAGCCCAAGCCCCAGCTGCAGGGGTGCACAGCCCCAGTTCCAGCCACAGGCACACAGCCCTGGCTCCAGCTGCAGGTGCACAGCTGCAGCTCCAGTGCAGCCGTGCACAGTCCCAGCTCCAGCCCTGGTCGCAGCCATGCGGGCACACAGCCACTGACAGCTGAAGCCAAAGAAGTCACGGAGATCCGGTAAAGTCATGGAATTTATTATTTCCATGACCTCCATGTTAAATCATATCCTTAATTATGTTTAAGGCATTTTACCATTTGTGGTCCCAGATTAGATGAGCCTAAGTTTTGAAGTGTTTCCTTTTTTTCCCCTCCTTTGGGTCACTACAAGGGCAGAGTTAAGTTGTTGCTTAAATAGTTCTTGATTTGTTCAAAGTTGTTGATTCATTAGGAGGTCTGGCAGGGTAGAGCTGTCACTTTGCCATCCTCTTCAGTTATGCAGGATGCCTGCAGTTCCATAATGTCCTTCATGTGCAAGTTACTTACGATGCAATAGTCCAACAAAACCTTCTCCTTATAGGACATTGTTGGCAAGGTTATAAATTAAGATATTGTAAATCACAAAAGGTGTAGTAAATTGGCCACTACCCAGTTCTAAATCCCAATACATATTAGCCTGATAGGATCATCAATAGTCAAAACTGTAATAGCCATAGTCAAAACTGTAATATACTTTGCCAGTGTTGTACTGCACTGAGCAAGAAAGCCTAGTAATACAGTTTAAAATTAGAGCGTTCTAGTCCTCCCATCTCTCCAAGGCCACAAAAGACAGACCACTTTAAGTTAGGTTTCCCACCTTTCCAAACAGATAAGAGAGCTAATTTTCTCAAAAAAGATATTTTGATAAAGAGTATAGTAGTATGATAGATAAAACAAGGAAGAGTAACCATCTTGACTATATTCACTTTCACAGCTAACAGAGATCTTTCCAGTGCCAAGGGTCAGTGTGCATTTTCGGAAGGAAAGGGAGATAATTTACAGATACAACAGGAAAGGATATGAATCCCTAGCTGTTTCAGTGTCCCTAACTACAAAGAAAAGGCATACCGCAAATTGTTTTTTTCTCTGCCTCAAGGACTACTGGTTCAATAGCCAGGCATTTTTCTATATTGATGATTACCCACAGAACATCTGAACTAGAGTGAGCTGGGCTGGCAAACAACAGCAGTGTGTCACCTACACATACAGAGACTTCGTAATAGCCTAAATAGCAGGGTTTGACCAGACCAATCCATGAGAGTTGCAGTGAGAGGTCAAAGAGCATAGATGAATGGGGGCACCATAAGAACATAAGAAAGGCCGTACGGGGTCAGACCAAAGGTCCATCTAGCCCAGTATCCTGTCTACCTACAGTGGCCAATGCCAGGTGCTCCAGAGGGAGTGAACCTAACAGGCAATGATCAAGTGATTTCTCTCCTGCCATCCATCTCCACCCTCTGACAGACAGAGGCTAGGGACACCATTCCTTACCCGTCCTGGCTAATAGCCATTAATGGACTTGACTTCACCATGAATTTATCCAGTTCTCTTTTAAACTCTGTTATAGTCCTAGCCTTCACAACCTCCTCAGGTAAGGAGTTCCACAAGTTGACTGTGCGCTGCATGAAGAAGAACTTCCTTTTATTTCTTTTAAACCTGCTGCCTATTAATTTCATTTGATGACCCCTA